GTGTGTGTGTTATTAAAGCTGCTTTTTCTCAGTTGGACTATGTTTGGGTGACATTTGGGTGGCAGTGGGGATGACAAGCATGGAGTCTTTCTCTGCCCAGTTCCCCCGTTCTTAGACTGCTTGCTTGCTCCCTTCCTCTGGCTCTGACTCCACTTGTAAGGCCTTAGATAGCAAGCTAATAGCTTGCTGTGCACCTCACAGTGAGGAGCTCACTTGTCTGTTTCCCATGGGCGTCACCTACATGTTAGGCACTGAGTCGGCAAGGGTTTGGGGATAGATGGGCTAGCAACACTCTGGTGACTCTGCTCTGATGGCGTCCTGGTGAAAGTACTTCAGAGGTTTTTGGGCAGAGAGGGCCAGAAAGACTTGGTGACCTGGACGCACGCTGCAGAGCCCACAGCCACGAAGGGGAGTCACGGGGTGCAGACCTCAGGGCTGCTGGCCAGTGTGGGTGGCAGGCTGTGAGACGGAGTTGGCGCCTCCTCTGGGATGCACCAAAGGCACATGTGGGTCACAGAACCTGGAGGTGGGCTCCAGGGCTGCACTGTACACCCCTGCAGGCAGGGCTGCAGGAGGCTCCCTGTGCGTGCTCTTCTGGGGTGAGACGGGCAGGAGGCGCCGTAGTACTTGGGAAGGGGATAGCACTGCATGTAGGGGCAGGAAAGGCCTTCACTGGGCTCCTAGGCTCAGCCCTGCCTCCCAGACTCACCACTGACCCTTCAGTCTTGCAGATCCCTTAAGCTCTCTGCAGCAGTTTCTTCATCTGGTAAAAGAAGTGAGGACTAAATGAATTTCTGCATCAAGAGGGCAAGTACTGCCTAGTGCGCAGCAAAAGCAGCACCAACTGTTGTTGCAGAGCTGTCTTGAGGCTCTTTGAGAAGACAGTTGGAAGTGGCCCTAATGGGCACCTTGGACATGCCGACATCTGATCCAGCCTTATCTCCAAGAAGTAAAGTTCCCAGTCAGGTGTGTTGGCATACTCCTGTAACCCTGGCACTGAACATCTCTAGCACTTGGAGTTGAGCTCAGGGCCTCTCACTTGCCCAGTAGGTGCTGTGTCACTTGAGCTATATCCCTGGCCCCCTGGGCAACATCTTGAAACCCTACCTCAAAATAAAAATTCTAAAAGGCTGAGCATGTAGCTTAGTGTGAAGGCTCTGGGTTCAATTCTCACAAGGAAAAAAGTTTTGACTTTAAAAACTAGGTGTAGGAGGGGGCTGGCAAGATAGCTCAGCAGACCTGCTTAGACAAGTTCAGGGACTGTGGTTCTAGCCCTGGGGCCACATTCCACACCAGCCCTGCCCCCAGGGCGCACTGAGCCAGTCCTGGTGTAGTGGCATTTGCCTATCAGCTCTGGGGAGGCCAAAAACAGGAGGATCACTATATATATAAACTAGGTGTGCTAAATTGAAGAGAGTGTGGGTGGTGATTTTGTGTCCTGTGTGGACGTGTACTGAGGTTTCCTTACTGACCCGTGATGCCCAGGCTGACAGGAGAACTGAAGAGCCAGCGGAGACCACAGCACTATTACACAAGTCAGAGTCCCTACTGTGTGTGACTCCCCTAGAAGGAGCACCAAGCAGCCCTGAGGTCCAACAGGAAGTGACCGGAGGAGCCCTGAGGTCCAGCCCCAAGTTTCAGGAATTCACACCTATTCTCTTCATCCAGGATCCTCACTACAGTCCTGGGGCAAAACTAACTCTGGGGTGGAGCTTTCTGAGGACTGCCAGCACTGCCCTCAGGCATGGTCTTACAACTTACCTAGGGAAAACAGCCTAGTAAAAGTTTGCAACTTGTGCACATAACCTCAGCACTCAGGAGGCTGAGGCAAGAGACTGCCTGAGCTGCATAGCAAGACCTCGTCTGAAAAACAAAAGCAGAAAGACTGTGGCGCCCAGGCTGACCTCCAACTCAGTGATTCTCCTGCCTCAGCCCTGTGCGTGCTGGGATTGTAGGCATGCAACACCATGCCTTGCGTATGTGCTACACAGCGGGTTCAAGGTCAGACTGGACTACATGGTCTCAAAAAACCAAAACAACGAAAATGTGTTTGTAGCCAGGTATGGTGAATGCATGTAATCCTAGAACTCAGCAGGCTGAGGCAGGAGAGTCCTAGTGAGTTGAAGACCAGTTTGCACTGTAAAGCAAGACCATGTCTCAAAACGCACGCAAGCGCGCACACACACAGTAACTCTGCTTGTGTTTGTGAAGTATTTCAGGCACTTCTAGGCAGAATTTATTTATTTTTATTTTTTGACAACTGGGGATTGAACTCAGGCCCTTGCACTTGCAAGGAAAGCAGTTATTCTGCTGAGCCGTCTCCCCAGCCTCCAGGCTCTTCTAAATGAGATCATTTCACACACAGCCATCCTTTGAAGCAACCAGGGGAGTGACTTCCAGAATGAGTAACAGCCCCCTTGAGGATTGCCTGGCCTGTGTCCCCAGATTAATGTCTTGGTTTGACTTCGGACCTGCTTGTCCACTACCAGGACTCTCCCTCATTCCTATTTTACCAGATTGTTCGCAGAGTATTGTGCACCCTCAAGCCACGATAGTAAGAGAAATAAAAAAGACAAGCTTAAATATCTCATGGGGCTTTTATGAGAAACATAAAGAACAATATAAAGTAGGGAACATCTTTTACAAATAGGAAGGGGCCCAAGAAAAGGAGGCCCCAGGGGAGGAAGGGGAGAGGAAAGGACAGCGCACAGGTATCGGCTCCACAGTGAAAGTAACCAGGTACTACAGATGTGCTAGTGAAATTTGAAATACATCAGCTTCCTATAGAAAGTTCTCATTGCTTTCTGGTTGGTTTTTGTTTGTTTGTTTTTCCCAGAACTGGGGGATTGAACTCAGGCCCTTGTGCTTGCCAGGCAAACGCTTATTCTACTGAGCTGTCTCCCTGGCCCCTCTCACTGCTTTCTGTTAAATGATTAGGCTCAGAGATGTAAGGGAATGGACTGTAGAAATTGTGGTCTGAAATAACTGCCCAATGAAAGTTTGGCAAGTGCTCTTGTGGTACTTGGCGTTGAAATCGCTATTTTCCTCATTTTAATGTGTGTGAGGTTCTGAGTCTGCCACCAGAGTTCCTCCGAGACAGGAACAGAGAGAAGCTGAGATGCAGAACCCATCGCCCTGGCTCGCGTGCTGCCTTCTGAGCTACCTGAAGTGGGTACTGGCAATGAATCAGACCTTAAGCCCCCCCCCCCCCCGCAGCTAGGTCTCCCTGCCCCACTCTACCATTACTTCCCATCCACTTTCTCACTTGCACTACAGAATTACCTCTCAGCCATGTCTTTATTATTATTATTATTTTTTTTTATTATTTTTTTGCGGAACCAGGGATTGAACTCAGGCCCTTGCGCTTGCCAGGGAAGCGCTTTATCCACTGAGCCATCTCCCCGGCCCCGTCTTTATTATTTTTAAAAATCTTTTATTTATATATTTGGTTCAGGGTCTCACTACACAGCTCAGACTCATGATCGTCCTGCCTCAGCCTCCCCAGCGCTGGGATTACAGGCATGTGCCACCATGCCATGTTTCAGGGCGAGACTGGCATGGCATTGGGATCCAACCCAGGTCCATGCACTTGCCAGGCAGGCGCTTAGGCCGCTGAGCTATCTCCCCGGCCTGCAGCCATACCTTTACTGACTTCTTCACCCCAAACCGGTTCTTTCAGGCCTTCCAGCTACTGCCTGACTTTCCCTTATGTTTCCACAAGGGGCCTTTCTGTCTCATTGAATCCATCCGCTCACAGGCCTCTTCCCCGAACAAGTTTATGCATAAGTTTGTACATTTCTGCCTTTGCTAGTGATATTGCCCCTCGAGTATAACCTGCTTCTCCATTCTCTGACTTTTCCGGACTTGATTTTCATCTGTAAATGAATGAATGTTAAGGCAAGTTGTTTAACCTGTTAAGACCAGTTTCCCATCTATAAAACAGGGCAGTAAATTCTTCAGGATGTAAATTCTTCCTAATAAAAGGAAGCTGGGCACACTTAACGTTTGTGTTCACATTCTCACGTGAGTCTCCCCATCCTGTTTGCAGAGTGCTGGGAGGTGTGTTTTGGGGGGCAGAGGTGTTACAGGGGTCCTATCTAGCCATCTGAGTCACACCCAACAGTCCAAACTGCAAGGTTGTATATAGGCTTAAGTGCCAAAGTGTGAGCTTTGACGACTACAGAACAAGTCAAGGTCCTTGAGTGAAGCGCACCTCTGAATTCTGCTCAAAGACCCAGGGCACATGGGGGAATCAGTTGCAGTGGTCCATATTTTGGTTCTTTTGGCCCTGCACCAATATAGCTGGATGGGAGGGAGGTAGACCTCTCAGCAGCGTTCACTCGGCTAGAAGGAAGTCAGCAGGGCTTGAGTCTGCAGCGAGGGCCATCCCGTGGACAAGAGCTGGTGAACTGCTGCTGGGGAAGTTTCTGCAGGTGGGAAGGCCAGGATGATTTGCCTGAGACTTGCACTGGAAGTTTTAGATTAAGAATGATGTTCAGGAGAAGCTTGAGAAGAAGAAAGCAGGCATCTGAATCTCACCCACCCTCGAGGTGAACCTGGGTTAGGGTTAAAATTTGGTGAATGAATTGGTGCAAATAGTTGTAGCTCATGTATCCAGAAAAGAACATTTTCTGTATGCACTTCGGACCAAGCCGCTACTTTATCCCCTGCAGGCCTGGCCCTCGACTTTAAGTCATGACAACGGCAGAGAGACTTGAGCGGGACCCACGATCCTCGTGTTGAGAGCTGTTCCCACCTGCTGGCCCCCCACGCCACTCCCACCCCCTAGGTCGAAAGAGGGTGGCAAGAGTGCAAAAGGCGCAGTCCCGGATAGAGACCAGCGAGGGCCCTCTGGGAGGGAAACCTCGCAGGACAAATTGGCTGCTGCGCACAGGAGCTTCGCACCGGGCGGAGTCCCACCTCAAACCTCAGCCTCCTCCACGCGAGGTGGGGCCCCAGCGGAAAGCCCCGCCCCATCGGACTCCGGCCCCGCCCCCGCCCGGCCCCTTCCTCCTGCAGCAGGCGTGTGCGGCCGCGGAGCCGCGCTGCGCGGTCCCCATGGCCCCGAATCCCGAAGCTAAGGTGAGCGAGGCCGGGAGCGAGGGTGGGCGGCCGGCGGGGTTGGCCCGGGGCCGGGGGCCGGGTGCTGGGGCGGTGCTGGCGGGCCTTCTCGTCCGCTGCGCCGCCGCGCTAAGCCAGGCCTTCCTCATCGCCAAGACCCCGGCCCCGCATGAAGGCTTGCGAGGGGCGCGGGCCAGGCCTCGGTTCGCGCGCAGCGCAGAGTGGCCACCGCGGACAGGGACAGAGCGGGGCGGGGACCCGCGAGGCCAGTGCGCCCCTGGATCTGGGTCACGTCTCCGGCATATGGCCGGATGGAAGGAGAGCCTGTCCTCGGCTGCAGCAGGGGAGTCCGAGGTTATAGCAGGCAGAGGGAGGGCGCGGGCCAACCGTGGGAGGGGGTCTCAGAGGGCGGGGTCTCGAGCTGCGGAGACCGCCACACCACCGGGCAGGGCCCGCCGAGCCCGACAGGGGCGTCGGGGATGAAGGTCGAGGCCCCACGCGGGAACCCTCCTCGGATCGTGTCGGGGTCTCCTTCCTCTTAGGCTCTAGCTAGAGATCTAGTTTTCTCACCCTAGGGTCTAATGAGCCGGGGATCACAGAGTGCAAGGGGCTTCCTCTGGGGGGCACCGGAGCTGTGGAGCTCTTGCAGTGCTGGGTGTGGATCTCAGACTTTGAACTAGGTTGGCCACCAAGGGGGCGGCATACTCTGCCCCGCCCTCCCAACAGGTGAAGTGGGCGCCGAGAGCTCCAGCCCAGTCCCCTCGTCTAGAGCTGCAGCAGGTAGGGGTGGAGGGCCGCTAGGTCAGATTCCACTCCTGCTTGGCTTTGCTGGAGCTGTGGGCCCCTCCCGCCTGGGGTCACCACACTCCGCACAGCCTTGACCTGCAGTGTCCCAGGTCAGAAGCCTCCCCCAGCTCCGCGCGCGTGCATGGGAATACACACATGTGGCGTTCGAGCTGGGAGGCAGGTTCTGCTCTGAGTCTCACTCCCGTGGACACTGACAGCCACCAAGCCCAGAGAAAGAAGTAGAGCCTTGTGTGTAATTGCATGTTTGAGAGCGCGGAACATACTACATTCCTGATCCCTGATCCCTCTGTGAGCCCGCCTGCCCAGCCTGCTGCAAGGGTGTGCTGCCTTTAACAGAAACCCGCACGTGCCTTATAATCCTGCTTGTCACCTCTGGGCTGTGACCCACTGAAGGGAAGGGCATGTGGACCCCTGTGAGTATGTGTGCCCCTCTGTGAACATACCTGCTCATGCACCTCCTTGTGGGTGTGTGACTGACTCCTGTGGATACCTGTGCTCACAGCCCTCCTCATGAACATGTTGTGTGCACATCCATGTGCATGTACCTCAGCTGCCTCTTGGCTCACAAGACTCAGAGTACACCTGTGTGAGTGTGCCTGCGCATTGAGTGGCTTTTCTTATCTGGGGTGTGCTCCTCCTGCCCGTCCCAGGGATTGGTCCCCCCAGCCATAAGGCTCCCCCTCCTGCTAAGCAAATAGGAGGCCCCAGAGGTAAACAGGTGTGGCCCACGGCGAGGAGTGGGACACGAGCAGCTTGCCCGGAGCCTCCTACTAGCCCAATCCCCAAATCAGGGTACTGCTGCCCACTCTGCGGTGCCCAGGGACCCTCCTCTGCCCCTCTCAGGTTCACTCTGCCCTCCTATGACAGTACTGACCTTTATCTCTCGAATAAACCCTCCAGGTTCCTGTTTTCCTCTGGCTGGCTCCTGGTCCCTCTTCTCCTTTCAAGGCCAGGTAGTTAATATTTGACCTGGAAGGGACAGGAGAGACCAGTGGCACCCTCTGACCCTACCTATAGTCTGATAAGATGGAGTATGTCTGGCCACTCTGGGCCCAGCTCAGGAAGCCTTCAGAAGCCCCTTCAGAGTTTAGGACGCCTGCCACAGAGGGCGGGGGAGGTCATCTCCCAGCCCACCTCCTCCCCAGTGGTTGGATTAAGAAAGGCTCAGGGTAGGGAACAGTCAGTCGAGAAATGTAATCCAGAGGTGGTCTGGAGCTCAGGGATCCCCATGTCACCTCTTACAGGGTGCTTAGGTCTCAAGTCCCTGGCCTCATGCATGTGTCACCCCTCCCGCCTGGACTTGACTGTGCAGCAAGGGGCGCCGGAAGGCCCTGCCAGGCTCCCACCATGCCTGGGTTCCTGCTGGCAGGTGGGGGCATGTGTGGATGCCCAGCCTAAGGCTGCAGCGCTGGCAGGGCAGAAACGTTCACCCCCTCAGAGAAGAATGCCTTGGAGAAGTGTCTAATTAAAGACAAATTCCAGAGGGAGCTCTCCGGCCAAGGAAAAGAAAAAACAAAGGAAAAACAGGACAGGATTAACAAAGGCCCATTAAATGCCTCTGCCCAGGCCTTCCTGCAGAGGGCAGGCGGCAGGGCGGCTGGTGTTGGAGGCGCAGGCGTTGGCTCTGAGAACCCAAACTCCTGACCTGACCCGAAGGAGGGAGCTGTTAGGGTGGTTCAAGTTGGGAGCAGGAAGAGAAGTCCACTGCAGCCCCCATCGGAGCAGAGATGTGCAGTCGGTCCTGGCGCAGGGGTTCTGTGGATGCCCCTAAATCTGGCTAATGCCATCTATCTTCCACCCCCATGCAGATCAAAGTGCTTTCTTTTTTTTCTTCCTTCAAAAAACAGATCTCAGAAAGCCAGGATGTGCCCTGCTGTCGAGGGCAGGGTGACCCTATCGGGAACCTACAGTCTTCCATGACTCAACTCTCACTCACCGTGAAGCTGGCATGTAATGCAGAGAAGCATGGGACTGACCCATCTCTCCGCCCCTGAGCTGAGATCCCATGGCCATACAACTCTGTGGCTCCATGTCCCCCCCATTCCCAGATCCGCCCTGGCCCCATGACCCCTAACCTTGCACGTGACTGTCCTGGACTTTGACCCCTGTGACTTGTCCCCTCCTGCACCTCTGGTCTGGCTCCCTTGGGGGTCTTGCTGGTTTGGACCTCCCCAGGAAAATGTGGGGAAGGCTCTGGCCCCTCCTCCTCGGCGTCCTTGCAGCCACAGCAGTCCCTGGGCCCTCCCTGCGGAGACCGTCCCTAGAGCTAGATGCTACCCCAAGGATGACCATCTCCTATGAAGGTTAGACCCTCGACCCTCAGAGGCTGTGACAGCCAAGGCTGGGGGCTGGAGACGGTCCTAAAGCCAGCTCACTGCTCCACTTTCCCCAGAGCTCTCTGGGACCCGGTACTTTCAGGCCCAAGCACAGAACTACTCAACACTACTCCTGGAGGAGGCCTCAGCGAGACTGCTGGTGGGAGCTCGAGGTGCCCTGTTCTCGCTCAGCGCCCAAGACATAGGAGACGGGGCTCACAAAGAGGTCAGCCCCAAACCAGGGCTGCAGCCTCATCAGCTCACTGGGATGTCAGCTTCCCAGAAACCCTGCCAGCCTTGCTCAGCCCCAACAGCACTGTCCTTCTCTGCCTCCCTGTGGAATGTACCCTTGCCCCCACCACCCGGCTCCCTGGAATCCTGTTGCCCAGTCCTGTGAGTATGGATATTGGGGTCAGTATGTTCCCTTTATCCCTAGATCCACTGGGAAGCCTCCCCAGAGATGCAAAGCAAATGTCATCAGAAAGGGAAGAACAACCTGGTATGTGGTCTGCCCTGTCCCCAGCTCCTTCTTTTCCCCCCTTTTCAGCTGGGGATGCCACGGTGGGGTGGTAGAGCCCTGTCAGTCAGTTGCACAACCATAGCAAACATGCTGAGTGCTGCCAAAGTGGCCCTGGGCGCAGCCTGCTAATCCAGTTGTGGTGGCTCCCAATCCCTCCAGCTCCCAGGTGACAGTCATGGTAACAATTAATAACCTATTTAGTGCTGACTTTCCTATTTTCTTCACCTAGTTCTAAAAGAACTTATGAAGTCATAGTATTTCCCATTTTACAGATGAGAAAAATGAGGCTTTGGTAAAGGACTAGCCAGTATCCATGGAGAAAAATTAGTGAAGTATCAACCTCTTCTGGCTAAAGAAGAGGGTGTCTGCTTATGTCTAGCTGCCTCTGGGCCTGGAGATTCTGTCTCAGGGGGCTTTCAGGTGGTGCTGGGGTACTGCGGTCTCCCCAGAGAGCCTGCCACAGGCTGCTGTGAGTATGGCTTAGGGAGGGAGGTGGAACTGGCCCTGAGGGCTGTGATCCTGCTCTGTGACTCTCGACTGTAGTGGGCTCAGGATTCAGGGCACAGGTGCAGGTGCTACCTGGGGGCTGTCGGGGAAGGGCTCTGACAAACTTGCAGCTGAAGCCAGGCAGGGGTTCCCAGGCCACACTGTTAGCCAGGCTTTGAAGAACACCTCTGGGGCTGTGAGGCCGTCTGGCTGTGACATCTGTCACCCTGGTGGTGAGCATGGGAGGGGCTGGCTCAGGGGCTCTGCAGGCTGGGCGGGGCCTTCCTCCCTGGCCCTCCGTGAACCAGTCGTCCCTCGCTCAGGCGTACATGAGTAGCTGCACTCCCTGCTAGAACCTCCACACAGGCTCCCGAGAATACTCCAAAAGTGCATTCTGAGGAACACTGATTATCAAGAGAAGGGTTCAGAGGTCAAGTTCACTTAGAAAGCACTTCCTGCACAATCCCACAATGCACAGCAGCACCCTTCATACCCCCAGCAAAGACAGTTCATCTGCAACTTCCAAACCTATCTCACCACAGAGCTCCTCCTAACTTATTGACCATAGAATTCCTCCTAACCACCATGCTTTTCTTGTTTTGTTTTTTTTTTTTTTTTTTTTTTTTTTTTTTTTTTTTTTTTTTTTTGTTTTTTGTTTTTTGTTTGAGACAGGGTTTTGGTATGTAGTCCAGGCTGGTCTTGAATTTGTGGTAATCCACCTGCCTCAGCTTCCTTTGTGCTGCAATAATGGGCATGCAGCACCACATCCCTAGCTCCAACTTCACTTTTAAATTTAAACATTTTAAGCCAGGTGTGGTAGTGCAGGAATTGGGAGGCTGAGGCAGGAGAATCACTGTGAGTTCAAGACCAAACCAGACAAGCTAGTGAGACCCTATCTCAAAATACCCAAAATAGGACCAGGGAGATAGCTCCATAGAATAAGCGCTTGCCTGGCAAACACAGGGTCCTGAGTTCAATCCCTGGTACTGAAAAAAAAATAAATATGTAAACATCTTAGGGAATGATCACTATAGGAATATTTATCTGGCCCCAGGTATGAGGCCTGAGTACACCGAGAGCGAGGGGCTGCACAGTGAGGAAGCAGTGGAAGGAGCAGCACAGGAGGAGGTCCCTCATGGAGCAAGGGAGGCCCTGAAGGGTGAGCAGGCGAGCAAGGCAGGCAAGGCCCAGGCTGCTCAGACAGGCCTAGGCATGTGGGCTCATGTAGCAGGGTGAATGACCTCGCTTACTTCTGTGCAGTGTGCTTTGTAGAGTGGGCCTGAGGCACTGAGTGTGTGGGTGGGTGGGCACCACCCAAAGGAGCTGTGTAGAGTGGGGGCTGCAGGACCCTAGGAGACAGGTACTGGAGCTGTTGGCAGTGTGCCCTGCCATGCTTTCTGAATTTTATACAAGAGGATGTCTTCTTTCACTGGGTGGCTTGGGAGGGTGGTCAGGTGGTCCCAGCACTGGTCCAGAGGAGATGAGATGGCATAATTTGGACTGAGGAGTGGTGCAGATGGAGGAGACCAAGCCTGCCCATGTTTGGGACAAACAATAAATCAGGCAGTAGGACTGAGGGTGCAGAGTGGGAAGGGAGAAGGATCTGGCTCCTGGCTTCTAGAACTGAGGAAAGGGTGCTGGGAGTGAGGTGAGGACTGGAGGAGCAGGTTCGGGTGGGCAGGGAAGTCCGGGAGCAGGCAGGCAGCTGTCTTCCCAAGGAGGTAGAGTGGATGTGGTCCTGGGATGGAGGCAGAGGCTGGTAGGCCTCCTGGGGCCACTCCAAGGGTTGGGAGGGAGCTCCAGAATGGGGGACACTGCCAAGAAGGAGCTCAGGACAAGAGCACACCCCAGCTGGGTAGGGCCCTGGAAGCAGCTGGGCTAGGACTAGCAGGCCTGCAGGAGAAGCTGGCGGGCAGTGTCAGCATTGCGCCACCGGAAGGCCAAGCACAGAGAGTTCCAGGGAACAGCACGGTTGTAGGCAGCAAGAAGCCCATGAGCATCTCGGAAAGGACTGCTTTGTCCTGGGAGTGGAGGCGAGAGCCAGAATACAAAGTCAGACTCAGTCAGGCCTGCTGCCATGCTCCCGTGATCTTAGCACTCTGAGAGGCTGAAGCAGGGGCATGCCACACTCAAGGGGGCTAGGCAACTTAGCAAGACCCTGTCGCAATTTAAAAAAAAAATTATTTATTTATTTTGGTAGAGGGTCTCAGGACACAGCTCAGACTTGTAGTGACCCTCCTGTCTCAGCCTCCCCAGCACTGGAATTACAGGCGTGCACCACCAGTTTTGGGGCCAGCACAGCATGTGGTACCAGGGATCAACCTTAGGTCTGTGCACTTGCCAGGCAGGCCCTTAGACTGCTGGGCTATTTCCCCAGCCCTCAAATTTTAAAAAAGAGAGTAAAAAGGGTTTGAGGATGTAACTTGGTGTGAAGGCCTTGGATTTAGTTCCTACTACAGAAGACTGACAAATGGAAAGAAAAGAAGAAAGAACACAGAAAGTAGGCCAGCGGAGGAGGGCCCCAGCCGGGCAGAGGCTCACATGTCCCTGCACCTTGTCCTGCAGACTGAGTGCTTCAACCATGTGCGCTTTCTGCAGCGGCTCAATGCCACTCACCTCTACGCATGTGGGACCCATGCCTTCCAGCCCCTGTGCGCTGCCATTGTGAGTGTGCCCAGCCCGGTGTGACTGTTAACCCAGACCAGACGGTCTGGCTTGGGTTGGGCTGCAGCCCTGCCTGGCCTCAGGACCTTACTGCGGCCCATCCCTCCAGGATGCTGAGGCCTTCACCTTGCCGAGCAGCTTCGAGGAGGGGAAGGAGAAGTGCCCTTATGACCCAGCCCGGGGCTTCACAGGCCTCGTCATTGGTGAGCGTTGGTGCTGCGGGATGCATGTCTTGTCACGCTTGCCACCTGTGTGCCCAGTGTGTGTGACGTGTCTGTCGGGCTGGCCTGTCTGTTCCCTAGATGGGGGCCTCTACACAGCCACACGGTATGAATTCCGGAGCATTCCTGACATCCGCCGGAGCCGCCACCCACATGCACTAAGAACCGAGGAAGCACCTGTGCACTGGCTCAATGGTTAGGAACGTGGGAGGACGGAGGGGCTGCTCCTTGCTCGTCCCTGCTTAGACAGCTGATCGTCCCATCCCCAAGTCCCCGGGTGAGCCCTGCCGCTCCACTCCTGTGTGGTCCAGGGAGGGAATCGGCCAGGCCAAGGTCCCCAACATGTCTAAGAAGCCTCTGAACACCTCAAACCCACAGATGCTGAGTTTGTCTTCTCCGTGCTGGTGCGAGAGAGTGAGGCCAGTGTGGTGGGCGACGATGACAAGGTTTATTACTTCTTCACGGAGCGTGCTGCTGCCGAGGAGGGCTCCAGCAGCTTCAGCCCAAGCCGGAGCAGTCACCGAGTGGCCCGTGTGGCCCGTGTTTGCAAGGTGGACAGGGCTGAGGCTGGGCCACAGGGTAGACTGGGCTCCTGACCCTGGCTTCTGACCCCTGACCTTGCTTTAACCCCACAGGGGGATCTGGGAGGGAAGAAGATCCTGCAGAAGAAGTGGACGTCCTTCCTGAAGGCGCGCCTCATCTGCCACATCCCCCAGTATGAGAAGCTGCGTGGGGTCTGCAGTCTGGATGCTGAGCGTGCGGCCCACACCCGCTTCTATGCGGCCTTCTCACTGACCACACAGTGGTGAGCACAGGAGCAGCAGGAGGGTGGGAACTGGGGCCCACATGGGCATTGCAGCTGAGGCCAGGGACAACCCAAGAGGACTGATCATGGGGAGGGTCGGGTTCAGAGTGAGAGTGTCAGGCACATCCAGACAGCCTAGGAGGAAGGCCGCCAGCCCAAAGAAGTGGCCCTGGGAGCCTGCGGTAGTGGCTGACCACCAAGGTAACAAAGGTTCTACGCTGAGCTCGGGTTGGAGCAGGTCCACTCGCAACTCAGCCCCTTCCTGCGTCTCATTCCCAGGAAGACCCTGGAGGCCTCAGCCATCTGCCGCTTTGACCTGGCTGAGGTGCAGGCTGTCTTCTCAGGACCCTACATGGAATACCAGGATGGTGCCCGCCGCTGGGGCCGCTACGAGGGCGGAGTCCCCGAGCCCCGTCCTGGCTCGGTGAGTTTCCTGGCCTGGGGCCAGTGCTCAGCAGACAGGGCCTGGGGTCCAGGAGAGCAAGGCAACTGACCAGGCTCAAACTACCTCCACCCAGTGCATCACAGATCCGCTGCGCAGCCGGGGCTTCAACTCATCCCAAGACTTGCCGTCCCTGGTGCTGGACTTCGTGAAGCTGCATCCACTGATGGCGCGGCCTGTGGTGCCCACACGTGGACGGCCCCTGCTGCTTAAGCGCAATGTGCGCTACACACACCTCACCGCGATACCAGTTTCCACTCCTGCTGGGCTCACCTATGATCTGCTCTTTCTGGGCACAGGTGCTTCCGACCTGAATCCCTGATCCCCTGGCTTGATCACGAATGCTCCTGAACCCCGTTACTCCTAGCGTGACTACCTAGAGTTCCTGAAGCCCTGTTGCTGGCATCACGATTCCCAAGCTGTCCCACTAGGCCTCTTACAAAGTGCTGAGCGTAGATCCCAGTGCTGGAGTCTAACCTCTGTCCTTTCTATGCCAGCTGATGGCTGGATCCACAAGGCTGTGGTCCTGGGCCCCGGCGTGCACATTATTGAGGAGACGCAAGTATTCAGGGAGCCCCAGTCAGTGGACAATCTCGTCATCTCCCCGAGGCAGGTAGGCCTGCTTTCCACCCCTCGGTGTGTGCTTGCTGGACGGGGAAGGGGTCAGAGGCTGGCCAGGCTCTGCATCTGCGAATGGGAGTAAGGCCCACAGCCAACCACTTGTCCTCTCGGCTCCCAGCACAGCCTGTATGTGGGCACCCCTAGCGGAGTCATCCAGCTACCATTGTCCACCTGCTTCCGCTACCAGTCCTGCTATGACTGCATCCTAGCCCGTGACCCCTACTGCAGCTGGAACCCCAGCAACCATTCCTGCGTGGCAACCACCACCACCACAGCAAACAGGTCCCAGGGTAGCATGAGGGAGCAGGGCGGGTAGGCTTGCTGTAGAGAACCCAGGGGGCTGATTACTGTCACAACCCTACCCACCCTTTGACTGGGAAGCTGAGCCTGTTTCCTCTTGCTCATGAATCCTAATCTCCTGTCCCCAGAACATCACTGATACAGGACATAGAGAGGGGAAATCGAGGCTGTGAAGGCAGCAGCCGTACAGGTATGTGACAGTCATGGATGTCTGGGGACCTGTCCTCTTGCAGCTACTCACTGTCAACCACAGGGCCACGTTGTGTCGGTGGCTGTACCTGTGTGTTCTTAGAGAGCCTGGTCCAAGACGGGGTTTTGTACAGGAAGAGCTCGGTAGAAAGTCACTGCCCAAACTATCAGCAAGAAAGCAGATTCAAGATGGGCCATGTTGTGCTGAGGATCACAACAGGCCTTGTGCAGGGAATGGATTACCTGCCTGCCATATGCGGGGTTGCAGCCTGGGTTCAGTTTCCAGAGCACTGACCCCCAAAAGTCAAGTGTCTTGTCACTTCTAGAACTTGGAGCCAAGTAGGTGTGTGTTGAGAATTACCTTCCTGACAAGGTTCAGAGGGAGAACAGGCATTTCCTGAGGAAGACCAAGTGGGTGCACTAATACTCAAAGGGAGAATGAAAGTTAGCAATCCTAGCTGCCAGTACTGAGTACCTCTACTGTGCCAGGCGCCAAGCTGAGCACTTAGGTGCATCTGCATGCATTTATGCTCTCGGCACCCATGAGCGAGGTGCGCGCTGTAGCCCCAGGAGGGGAGCATCAGTGTACTCCACGCTGCCCAGCTACTGCACAGCGGGGTCAATTCCAGCTGGACCCCAGTGGTCTGACTCATTTGTGCTTTCGGCCACTGTGCTGTACTGTCGTGGGTCAGCCACACAGGCAGAGGGCACACATAGGATGATGGCACCCAAGCAGGGGAGCTGCAGGGGAGGAAAAAGGCAAGGCAGACCGTCCTGACCTGGGCAATGCACAGGGCCTGGTGCAGTTTGGGAGCAGGCACGAGGACAGGACCAAGGGAAGTGCCCGGAAGCCTTCTCCTGGAGGAGCTGAGAGGTCTGTGTGGGAGGCAGACCAGGTGTCCTTGGCAGGTGGCAAGGCCTGAGATCACAGGAGAGGCTGGGAGCACGGAGAAAAGAGAAGTAGGCTTCCCAAGAGCCAGTGGCATTCCCTCACAAGGGAGCACACGTGTCTGGACTCGGTCAGCTGCCCTGATGCACAGCTTATGCAGAGTGCTAGACATTTGGCAATAAATGGTGTGGCTTGATTTCTGGCGCCCTCCCTGAGGTGGGCAGGTCTTGAGCTCTTCACCCTCCCCTCCAGGGCCACTACCAACCCTGAAGACCCGCTCTGTGCTCCAGGGTGACAATGTCCTCCTGCCCTGTGACCAGCCATCCAACCTGGCCCGGGCATTGTGGCTACTCAATGGCAGCAGGAGCCTGAGTGACGGGCAGGATGGCTACCGTGTGGGTGTCGATGGGCTGCTAGTGACAGACACACAGCCTGAGCACAGTGGCAGCTATGGCTGCTTTGCTGAGGAGAATGGTTTGCGAACCCTGCTGGCCTCCTATAGCCTCACTGTCCGGCCAGCCACTCCTGCCCCAGCTCCACAAGCCCCTGCCACAAAAGAGGCCCGCCTGGCCCCCGACGTGAAGCTGCTCTACGTGCTTGCCATCGCGGCCCTCGGTGGCCTCTGCCTCATCCTGGCCTTCTCCCTCCTGTATGTGGCTTGCCTGCGCAGAGGTGGACGGGGCCACCGCCGTAAATACTCACTGGGCCGGGCTGGCCGGGCTGGGGGCTCAGCTGTGCAGCTGCAGACAGTCTCAGGCCAGTGTCCTGGAGAGGAAGATGAAGGTGATGAAGGAGAGGGGGCCGGAGGCCTGGAGGGAAGCTGCCTCCAGATCATCCCTGGAGAAGGCGCCCCAGCCCCTCCGCCCCCACCACCTCCGCCCCCACCGGCCGAGCTGACTAACGGGCTGGTGGCACTGCCCAGCCGGCTCCGAAGGATGAACGGCAGCAGCTACGTGCTCCTGAGGCAGAGCGGCGACGGAGTGCCGACGGGGCCCTGCTCCTTTGCAGAGGAGCTCAGCCGCATCCTGGAGAAGAGGAAGCACACACAGCTGGTGGAGCAGTTAGATGAGAGCGCCGTCTGAGTCTGGCCTCCCTGGCATGGCCGCCCTCTGCACCTCCTCCCAACTCTGTTGTCTCCATAGGGTTACCCGTTAGGCCCAGCCAGAGCCCCTTCCTCAGCCTCCAAGACCCACGTAGGAGCAGCCAGGCCCATGATGCTCCTGAGGTAGGTGCTCCCTGCAGACCCAGTCAGTTCCTACGTCCCTAACACTTTGGAGGCCTGTGTCCTGTCCTCGTGTCTGCCCAGCCTTTCCTCTTCCTCCCAGGCAGGGCTCTGCAGGGCGACAGCCTCAGTGTCGCCACCTTCTGCATACTGTGTGCTGGATGCTCCTGAAGCCGCACACAAGCCCTGCCGACCATTAAGCCCTGCATACATTCACACACGCACAGGGCAGAACGTGTCAGTGGGGCTGTACAGCCCACTCCCCTCTTCTTCCTCGCCATTCTTATTTCACCCTCCTGGTTGTCACATCCCCATCTAGTGCTCTTACGGTCCCTGTCCCATGTGACCCCATTGGCAAAAGCTTGGGAACAGGCCAGCCTAGGAGGTAAGGTAGTCATTCCCCTCTTCTTCCTTCTTGTGCAGTCTTTGTGAGTCGGCTTACCCATCCCCCTCGGTCCCACAGAAGAGTGACAAAAAGACCTCTGGGCATGTTCCTTCCCATGCATCTGTGGTACATGTGCTAACATTTCCACCCTGTGCACCTCTGAGCCTCCCCTTGCTGCCGGACTGTCGGTTGGGTTAGGTCCATGGACATTTCAAAGGGAGACTCCCCCTCCCATTAGCTGTCCTTGGAGAGCCTGCCCTGGACGGGTGACCACACTGCACTCAATGAGCCAGCCTTCCCAGGGACCAAGCATTGCTGCCCCTAGACCAGAGCAGGGGAAAGAACTGTCTCACCTGGCACACAACGCCCGTTCTTGGAACTATGCAAAGGGCAGAGGCTGGGAGTTTGGATGCGTGGCTCCCACTCCTGTCCTACTCACCGGGCCACTTCCAAGGTCCAGGGCCGCTGAAGCCCCAGGCCCACCTGGGACAATCACGCTAGACTGAGCTCCCTCATTGCCTTTGGGTGAGGATGACTGTTATTTTTGTAGCTGCGAACGTGGAATCCCACGAGTTTTTACTGCCCTTCACCCAACCTCTCCCGCCTCCACCCACAATGAATGTATTTATTGTGAGAACGAATGAATGCTCTTCCTTAGGAATGCCCTCACTCAGCCCCGGGTGGGTGGGACAGGCATGTGACAGAGGGGAGCCTGGGCTCAGCTCCTGACTGAAGTTGGTTAATAAACACCCTTTCCCCAGAGCTGTGTAGTCCATTTCGTCTAAACGGCCTCCCTTGGTCGCTGGGAGCAGGGACTTCCGCACCTAGTTGGCATTCACCTCCATGAAACTTACAGAGCACACTGGCAACCACACTTGCGTCCAGGCCATGCTCACTGACACACAGCCCCTCTCACGAAGGTGCAGGTTAATCACTCACTGTGATGAAGGCGTAACAAAAAATTTCAGTTCAAGAGTTCACACAAAGGCTGAGCATGACAGTGCGCCCATGACCCCAGCATTCTGGAGGCTGAGGCAGGAGGACTGCCACAAGTCAGGCCAGCCTGGGCGCCATAATGAATTCAAAGCCAGCCTGAACTATGTGGTGAGACCACCTCTAAATACACACACACAAAAAAACAAACAAAAAACCTTATTCACACAAGGGTTTCTACATATTTTGCATCCCGGTCCTCTTCCTGTTTCTGCTTTGGGATGGATTCTCCCTGTGCTGCCCAGCCTCCCGAAGAACTGGGCTACAGGTGTGTGTGTGCCACCAGGCCTGGCTCCCTGCCTTTTAAAAACCAAGCCTAGAGGATCCCCATCAGCCCTCCTTCTCTTTGTAGTTACCACCCCTTCCCACCCTTCGGTGCAAAGGGAGATATAGATGTTTCCACACAAAGCAGGGTCTCAGGAGATCGGATGCGGCAGCCACCTGCCAGAGAATCTCTCCCTTGGAGTCAGGCAGGCCTACAATAGTCATGCTGCTTCTGGTTTTACAATAATGAAAAATGGGGCTCATGCTTAAGGTATTCATACAGTTGAGAAACCTCATGTGTACACTTGTGTAATTTTTTTTTTTTTTTTTGGTGGAACCGGGGATCAAACTCAGGCCCTTGAGCTTGCCAGGTAAGTGCTTATTCCACTGAGCCATCTCCCTGGCCCCAATGTGTAACTTTTTTTTCTTAACCTTTTTTGGTTTTGATCTTTTTTTATTTTACTGTATTTTTTTGGTTGGATTTTTTTTTTTAGGGGAGTTTTTTGTTTTTGGTGTTGAGGACCAAACCCGGGGCTTCCAGCTTGCTAGGCAAGCATTCTATCACTGAGCCAAATCCCCAGCCCCTTTTTCAGCATTTTTAAGAGATTTCTGTTCCACCTCCCAAGTGCTAAGATTACAGACATACTCCACCACACCCAGCTAAACTTGCATAAGTTTAATGATATCAGTTTTTTAATCTGTACACATTCACACACATAACAAGCGTCTCACATACACCAGGTCACAGCAGATCTCTCGCTAGCTCAATGGCTGTGGCAGTACAGTGTGAGGGACCTTGAGGAGCCAGCCTCCAGACAACCCGCTGCCCCACCGCCATGTTTTGAAATCAGCATTATCAATCTGGATTTTTTTTTTTTGCGGAACCAGGGATTGAACTCAGGCCCTTGCGCCTGCCAGGGAAGCGCTTATTCCACTGAGCCATCTCCCCAGTCCATGGATTTTTTTTTTTTTTTTTTTGAGACATCTATGTAGTTCAGGGCGGCCTCAAATTCACAATACTCCTGCCTCAGCTTTGCAAGTACTGCAATTACAGATTTGAGGCAACTCGTGCGGCTTCTATTTAGATTCTAGAAAACAAGGGCCTTGTGTAGCATTTCAAGACTCATCTCCGGTTTCAGAGATGCCCACTAATTTGAATTAGGGAACAAAAAAGTCATAGCTCTCAGCGTTTGACGCTTTAATCCAACAGGCAGCGCCTCACCCCAAGCAAGGCCTTCGGCATTAAGCCAGCGCTGGGGCAAGGGAGAGATCTCTTTATCTGCTTGGGCTTGGAATGCCAAAGAGGGAGGTACACCTCTGCTGGGCGACAGGCCGGCCTGGGTTAGCGTAGGTGGCGCGATTCTTCGCCGCGCTCGCCCCCGCCTGGGGCAGGGCTCCGGGGCTCTCGGGGGCGCAGCCCGCGGAACGGCGCGGGTTTGTTGGTGAACGGGTGCCACTGGCCCTGGATGCTGGGGTTGTCGGTGTGGAAGGGCTTTCGGATGCGGACCACGTCCAGGCCTGACTGGCCCGCCAGCTTCTGAACCAGCGCGGCGATCTCTTCCGCCGACTTGCAGTGGATGCTCTCCTCGCGCACGGCCCCATTGACTGGAAGAAGGGAGGCGCAGACAGCAGAAGCCGCTCAGCGGGGGTCCCCGCGGGGGCCAGCGCGCCTCGCCCAGCCCCGGCCCCACTCACGGTACTCGGCCACTACTCCGGGCACGCAGCACGGTCGGGGGTTCACGTAGACGACAACCCCTGGGTTGCGACGGGCGAAGTCGATCACCTCGCGTTCCACGAACTCCCTGAGGGGCCCGGAAGGGAGGACTCGGTGAGCCCGGCCCGGGCGCCCTCGGCCGGGATAGGCGCCCCGTGCGCGCACCCCAGCGTGTTCTCGGGCTCACCTGGCGCCGCGCGACGAGGGCCCATCGCGGCTGAGACTGAAGCTGAGACGCTGCAGCTGCTGCACGTACCGCCCCAGCCCGTTGTGCAGGACGCTGGCCAGGAAGCGGCTCGCGGTGCCGCGCGCAGTCATGGCGGCGGCCGCCCGAGAGCGGCGGCAGGGGGCGGGGCTGAGTCCGGCTTCCGCTTCCGGAGGTCGCGGCGCCGGGAGAGTTTTGCTTCCGGGGCTACAGCGCGGGGGAGGCGGGCGGGGCCCACGTTGCGCGCCCAAGGGTTGGTGTGGCGTGGAGACGTCGGCCCAGAGCAGCTCCGGGGCTCCCGGGCCCATGGCGGGAGGGCTCCGGGGAGGCGGCGGAGCCGCGAAGGGTGCCCTCGCCGGGCTGCGGGAGAGGGCTGTGAGGAGGGTGCGGGGGCTGGGGATGGCGGGGCGGATCGGCAAGTAGAGGTTTGAGCTGTGTGGAGGATCTTTAGAGTCTGGCCTTGTAAAGCACCCAAATCAGACGAGGTGACTTCCTACTCCACTAGCGATGTGGGTCCTTCTCCGAGGTGGGTGCCCCCTCCGCTTCTTGCTGCCCCTGCGCGGCGAGTGGATGGGCCGCAGGGGTCTGCCTCGAAGCTTAGCCCCAGGCCCTCCTCGAAGACGGTACCGGAAGGAGGTTCTCCCGGCCTTGGAGGTGTCGGTGTTGCCTGTAACTACAACCGAAATTCGCCAGTATTTGCGGACACGTGGGATCCCCTTCCAGGATGGCCACAGCTGCCTTCGCGTCCCGAGCCCCTTTGTGGAGTCCTCACAGGTCAAGGATCCAACTGGAGCTACCTCTTCCTTCAGCCTGTTCATCGACAAGACCACAGGCCACTTTCTTTGCATGACCAGCCTGGCGGAGGGGAGTTGGGAAGACTTTCAGGCCAGTGTGGAGGGGCGAGGGGATGGAGTGAAAGAGGGGGTCCTGCTTAGCGAGCCATCCGAAACTGCCAACAGTGAGGAGGTCCGGAGGATTTGGAACCGAGCAATACCTCTCTGGGAGCTGCCTGATGCACAGGAGGCCCAACTGGCGCGAGTGATGTTCAGCATTACCAGAGTGACAGATGACACTCTGAAGCGTTTCAGCGTACAGTATCTGCGGCCTGCTCGCAGCCTGGTCTTCCCTTGGTTCTCCTCTCAGGGCTTAGGATTGCGAGGCCTGAAGCTGTTAGGAGCTGAGGGTCAGGGGGATGGAGTGCACTACACGGAGACCACCATTCCCCGCCTGGGTGCCTACCACAACCTATTCGGATTATCACTGATCAGCCGGCGCGATGTTGAGGTGGTCTTGACCAGTCGTGAGCTGGACAGTCTGGCCCTGAGCCAGGCCACAGGGCTTCCCACGCTTGCCCTGCCCCGGGGAACGCTATCCTTACCCCCTGCCTTGCTCCCATACCTTGAACAGTTCCGCCGTGTTATATTATGGCTAGGTGATGACCTTCGTTCTTGGGAAGCTGCCAAGTTGTTTGCCCGAAAACTGAATCCAAAACGATGCTTCTTGGTGCGCCCTGGAGACCATCAACCCTGTCCCCTGGAGGCCTTGAACCGAGGCTTAAATCTGTCTCGTATTCTGCGTACTGCCCTGCCTGCCTGGCACAAGTCAATTGTGTCTTTTCGGCAGCTTCGGGAGGAGGTACTAGGAGAACTGTCAAACGTAGAGCAAGCTGCTGGTATCCGCTGGAGCCGCTTCCCAGACCTCAATCGTCTTTTGAAGGGGCACCGGAAAGGCGAGCTGACAGTCTTTACAGGTGATACAAGGGTAGAAAGTCAGGCAAAAGCATGTGGGTTTAGGCCACTGAAAATGGCCCCCACTCTGAAGCTCTGATCAGTGTCTAGGTTCAAGGGTTGGACCATGCTTCTCACCTCGGGCTGTGTTCATCCTCTCGCAGGGCCCACAGGCAGTGGGAAGACAACATTTATCAGCGAGTATGCCCTGGATTTGTGTACCCAGGGGGTGAACACGCTGTGGGGGAGCTTTGAGATCAGCAATGTGAGACTGGCCCGGGTCATGCTGACCCAGTTTGCTGTGGGAAGGCTAGAGGAGCAACTAGACAAATATGACGAGTGGGCTGACCGCTTTGAGGACCTGCCCCTCTATTTCATGACCTTCCACGGGCAGCAGAGCATCAGGTGAGATCCTCGGGCTAGCTGCTTTTCTCTCCCAGACAAGCCCTAGCACGCTGCGCATTAAGTTCCCTTTCCAGCTGCAGGGGGAATGCCTTCCAGACCTCCTTAGAAGACTCAGGGTTTTCTGCGTGGAAGGGTAGGTGCAGGTGGCAGCAGGGCTTTCAAGATGTTAACTCTTAGTGGTGTCTGATTCACTGCCTCTTCCTTCTAGGTCTGTGATAGACACAATGCAACATGCTGTGTACGTCTACGATGTTTGTCATGTGGTCATTGACAACTTGCAGTTCATGATGGGTCATGAGCAGCTGCCCACAGACAGGTGACATCCTCTTGTCTAACAAGCCTATGTATCTTTTCAGACAGCATCTAAGCATACATATTATACTTATTTTCTGAGAGATGGGAGTAGGATCACATGAAATGTGGATGGGGCACCTGAGAATGAGTCCTGGGGTGGTGGAAGGTATAGAGTAAGATTAGGGTGGTATGTGGGGAGATATGAGTGGACTGAGGAGATGGGTATGTGTGTATGTTTTTGTCCTGTGTCTGGTAACCTGTTCATGTTGTTGGGCTGGGACAGGATTGCAGCTCAAGACTACATTGTTGGGGCCTTTCGGAAGTTTGCAACAGACAATAACTGTCATGTGACACTGGTCATTCACCCCCGGAAGGAGGACGATGACAAGGAACTGCAGACAGCATCCATTTTTGGCTCAGCTAAAGTGAGTGGGCTTTAAAAGAGCTCAAGCTTTGGAGAGTACAGGGGATGGCCTTAGATCTTCTTGACTCTCCGGAGGCAGTGCCTTGACCATTGCATGGGAAATACACACACTGGGAATACAAAGGCGCTGGTAATAGCTGGTTCTTTGCCTTCTAAGAGCGCATATACTCTAGTGAGGAAAGCACAGTGATTGCATCTCACTGTGATGCAGGCTGTGATAGGCAGCGTAAGAATTTGGGCAGCAAAAAGAAAGCTGAGTTAGCCTGGGCCACCTGGAGCAACTTCCCACAAGAAGTATTCCCAGGGGTTGGCCTGAGGTTTGTCAGTAAACGGATGGCCTTCTGGGCAGCAGGGCCACCCAGTCCTAAAGCTTGCAGTGGTACACTGGGTGCCAGTGGTATGCCAGGCAGAGGCTGAGCACAGGGAAATTATGTGCTACAGTGCAGAAGTAAAGAAGCGGTAGTGCCTGCTTTAGGACATCAAGAACGGTCTCTGATGAAGTGTGACACTGAGAGCAAAACCTAGACTAGATGAGGCTGGTCTGAGGAGGGTGACCCACTGCAGAGGTGAGGGAGCAGCATGGGTGAAGTCTGGGTCAGGGACACTGGTCCATGTCAGGGAGCTGGGAGTCTTGAGTGGCCCAGCATGGTGGCCAGTGTCTAGAGAGCTTCACTTCCCCTCTACCCAGTCTTGACTATCAGCCTTCCTTCCTGCTTTGCTCATCTCTTCTTATTCGTGCCCTCTCCCTGTGTCCCTCACCCCTAGGCAAGCCAAGAAGCAGACAACGTCCTGATCCTGCAGGACAGGAAATTGGTAACTGGGCCAGGGAAACGGTATCTGCAGGTGTCCAAGAACCGGTTTGATGGAGATGTGGGTGTCTTCCCACTTGAGTTCAATAAGAACTCCCTCACCTTCTCCACCCCACCAAAGAGCAAGACCCGGCTCAAGAAGATCAAGGATGACAGTGGACTAGTGGTCAAAAAGCCCTCTTCTGGCAAAAAAGGGGCTGTGCCCCAGAACTCTGAGGCCTGCTCAGGCTGTGACCCCATCCCGTGCCAGTCAAGCAGCTCTAAGCCCACAGAGTAAAGGCAGTCCTGATCACTGAAATGCACTTCATGGGAGAGTGGAGCATGGACCCTCTGCTAAGACATCTGTGTTGTCATGCTAAACTGGCTCCTCAGTCTGTGGCAGGCTGCATAGAAAAATCAGCTTAGCGGCTATTTGAGTACTTAGGATGTGACAGGCTTTGTTCAAGGTCCTGTGTATGCAGTACTGAAGAGATATATAAGGTCTCTGTTTTCATAGGATCCGCATTGTGGTAGAAGAGCCAAGCAGTGAAAGGATAAACAGAAAACAGTGTAAAAGGTATAAGCAAAATAGCAATGTGACAGAACATTCATGGGCTACTTTAGACTAAAAGGATGTCTGAGCAGAGGGGATGGGTCGGGCCTCAGGCGCTGGAAGGGGAAGGTCAAGGTCGTGTGGGTGTCTGAAGTAGGAAAGGCCCACACCCTGGCCTGGGAGGCAGTGAACTGGACCTGGACCTGGAGTGGAACAAACTGACTTCTGGCTCTGACTCCAGCCTTTAGGCTTCTTTACCCAAAGGGTGATGTGGATATTGAGCACCTCTGCAGCCCACTGCAGAGCCAAGGCATAAAGTGGCACCTGCTAGAACCTGACCCTGAGTGCTGCACCCTGCAACCTCAGGCCTCAGGTGGAAGCAGCCTCCTAGTGGATGCTCAGCTACAGAGCCATAGCAAGGGCTACAGCCCTGTCCCTGGACACTGGTTCCATTGTGTGCTGCCTCAGGGAGCCAGAGGTAGGGTTTCTTTAGAGACTTCCAGTTTTCATGAAAAATATTTTTTCTATTACCTTTGTTGCAGTGTTTTTTGTCCCCCAGGTGGCTCCCATCTGTAACTTTCCTCTTGAATGGGGGTGGGGGGACCGCCTTGAGCTGTGGGCACCTAAGGAAGCCAGGGCCTTGGAAGGCCTTCACTTCCCACCTCTCCCTGACACGCTCTCCCGTGAGATGCCTGGCTGGCAGAGGTGTGGGTCGGTGGTCTATGCACCGGTGCCCTGCTTGATCAGCTCTTCCCTCTGCTGTGAGCCACTTCTCTGGCAGATGAAGACTCTGCATATTATCATCTACTCTGCATACGTTGCCCTCCTGCTGTGCCCTCGTCCATATTTCTCTTCCCTGCATAGGATGTGGCGGAAAGCATGAGGATTTGTAAACATTAAGGACCCTTCCCTGCCCTCTCCCCAGTCCTGCACATACATTTCTAATTCTGGAGTGTAAGGGGTACACTGGGGTTTTCGTTTTAAGCCCTGCAGATTATGACAGGTCCACAGGCCCTCTCCAAAGTAGCCCTGCATGATGACACTCATTCTCACTTCTGGTGTCCCAATTTACCTCAGAATTGCCTGAATATATAGTGAACAGCCGTGATGTTCTGACATTTGGGGACAGTTTTCTGCTTCCTGGAAAAGCCCCTGTCTTTAAGGTCTGGCAGTCAACCCAAGAGGGGCTTCAGGGATCCTACTGAAGGGGTCTGTGAGAGGTGTGGCTACAAATACCTCTACAAATACCTCCTGAAAAGAGCTTGAGTTGTGCTCGGCAGCGGGAGAGAGTGTAGCCCCTCCAGGGCCTCCTTTCTTGGGGGTCTCCTAGACTGGCTGGAGCCAGGCTTCCATAATCCTACAGTAATCATTCCCAGCCGACGGTGGTCTAAGCCCCATCCAGGGCCTGTATGGCTGCATGTCAGCTGGGCCTTCCAGATGTACCATGTCAGCTCTGGCCCTCAGGACCAGCCTCCAACTTCTAGTCTTCCTAGAATACCTGTTGGCAAGGTCCTATAGGAGTTTCCAAGAGGGGCCTTTGTGAGGGCTCTGTGGGTTGGGACCGGAGAGGTCCCACAACTGCCTGTTTGTTTCCTCCTGCGCTCTTTGTGAGCACACCCCCACACAGCACAAACCAGAATGATGAGGGAGATGGGTGGTGCACACCCACAGTACTCTCGTGAGACCTAGGGGCCTGTGGTGGGTGACTTGGACCCTGAGTAAATCCGGGATTTGGCTGTGTGTTCATTACTTGGGGTAGGACTGGTAACCTGTGTGTGCTCCTGGCTAAAAACCCCAGGGAGCTCAAGAAGGACCTGACCGAGCAGGGTACAGTTGGATCCACCACCCTGTCCTCAGATTGAACGGGACAGGCATGGTTGTCGGGGTGGCTTCCCCACCGTGGTCAGCCTGTGGGGAGTTACACTCCCTGGAGTCTGCAACCTTGTGCCTTCCCACCGACAGCCTCGAGGCAGGGAGGGACGGGGTCGTGGTGCCTCCCAGCAAGGCTAACTTCCTGTTTGTGCCTGTGGGTGGGACTCTGGGAGTCCCTCCGTGGGGGCTGGTACTGACAGCGGTTCCCCTGGACGACCTCCTCTGCTTGGGCAGCCTTTGTACTTGGTGTGGGTGTTTGGTGAAGCCCGAGCTTTGTCCGTCCACTTGGGGGCTGTCCCTAAGGGTGAAGAGCAGCCCCGCTGGGCTCCCTACTGAGCATGGCAGCTGTCTGGGTCGCGCCCTGGCGCCGAGGGGAAGCCAGGTAGTTTAGCTCGAGGTCACATGACACCGTTTCTTTCCCCAGGTCGTTCTTCCCAGTGGCTAAACTGTGAAGTCACAGGCCCGCGGGGCAGCCCCGGGTCGCAGTCGAGTTACTTTTGGGCTGGGTCCTGGGTCGGCTGCTTGGGGGTGCTGGGCAGACCACTCCCCTCCCGGGATTGGGGCGCGGCCTCCGCTGCCCCGCCCCTCCGTGGGCGCCAGGAGCGCGGAGCCGGTAGCTCCCGGCCCCGAAGCCCGGAGTGGGCTGGGGGGCCGCTGTTCTCTCAGACGCGGGCGCGCTGGAGCCGGAGCCTGGCCCGAGTTGGAGCGGCGGAGCGGTGGCGCTGGGTGAGTAGCGAGGCGGCAGGGGCGCGGGAGCTCGCGGTTCCTAAGCGAGCCCTGCGCCTGGGAAAGCTATCGGGGGAATGAGAAGGGGTCCCACGCGGCACAGCCAAGTCCGAACGGCGAAGCAACACAGTAACTCGCATCCACTGGCCGCCAGGCACGCGCGCACATACCCACGCACGCACTGGGGGCGCACGGGCACACGTGCATTCTGAAGGGGCGCGCCCGGTGGACTAGCTCAGGGCCAGCTGGCAGAACCCAGGCAGTTTGGGCCGGGGTGGGAGAAAGAGACCGCGAGCGAGACAGGCGGGTGGGATGCGTCCGGAGATCTGCTTCCCCGACGCCCAGTTACAGGTGAAGCCCGAGGCGTTCGGAGGCGCCACACACGTGATTGTTAGGCGCCGGGGGCGAGCTTGCGGGGTCCCCACTGGGCCTGGAGTGGTGGTAGCCTTCGCCCCAGCAATGGGAGAACCACGTTCCTTGGAGCCAGGTGGCACGGAAGACCTGGAGCCTGGGCTGGGTGGCGCTCCCAGGGCTCCTGGCTTCTTTGCTTCCCGCACATTCTTGGAGTCTACATCCCTGAAGGAATGGGGAGGGGGGACCTTGGCAAGGGCAGACAGCTGCCCCCTTTCTACTACTCCGTCCCAGAGTAAGCAGAGAGCCACTCGCGCAATAGCGGCCACCCCCTCCGGAGGCTGAAAGTACAAACCCCTCAACCCCCGAGGGGACCGAGCCCTGTCTGTGGGTAGGAGGACGGGCACCCCCCATGAGGGAGGGGCTGCGGCCGAGGCCTCCCGCCCCGCCCCCACGCCTGCACACTGGAGCCCAGCTGCTGCCCGCGCTTCTGGGCAGTCCGCCAGAGAGTGGAGGTGGCCCTTGGTGCCCCGAAGCAGGGATCAGGGTCAGGCCCAAGGAGGGGTCTTTCCTGGAGAGAGGGGCGCAGTCGGTTTTGGGGAAACTGTAGAACTGGAGTGAGCCTAAGGGTGGCTGGGCTGTGTTTTCCCTTTCCAGGGAAAAAGAAAGAAAAACAACCCTTTCCATAGGGCTAAAAATAGAGCAGAGAGCCGGCCAGGCGGTGGCTTGGAGGGGACGCGCCTTCTTGGGGCTGAGCCCGGCGCTGGCAGGCCCGGTCTGGCGGAAAGGGCTGGTCGCCCAGGGGCTGGTCGCAGAGAGACCCGTCGGCGGGCAAGTCTGTGCTCACGTGAAGCGGAATGTAGGAAGTTGGCAGTGCGGGAAGACGGGAAGGAGGCGGCGAAGTGTATCTCAGCCCAGCCCTGCACCGAGGTGCGCGCGGCCGCCCGCAGGCGTGCGACCGCGGAGATGGCGCGGGGCCACGTGACGCCCGAGCGTGGGGCTGTGGCCTCCCGGCAGTGTGGGAAAGGGCACGTGGGTGTTCAACTGCGCCGTTCCTGGGAGGCTGAGCCCGTGGCCCCGAAGGACAGTAAGGCGCTCTTTGCCTTCAGTCCATGCAGGCCTGAACTGTCGGGTGGACGCTCCGTCCAAGGACCGAGGCCGACGCAGCCTCCGGGCAGTGACCTCCCCACTGACCCTCCACAGTGGCGGGAGGAGGGCGGCCGCCTTGTGGGGTGGCCGCGTTGCCCCGACCAGCCGCCAGGGGGCGCGGTGGGCGGGGGCGACCCGGGTCTCGGCTGGCGGGTGCCGGCTCGGGCGCTGCGGCCAAGGGGTGGCCGGCAGCGGCCGCGGCCGCGGGAGGGGGAACTCCGCCCAGGCGCGCAGAGGCGGGGCGCGCGCCCGGCTCTTTGTGCGGGAACAATGACCAGCTGCTGCTGGTCTCGGGGCCAGACCCGGACGGGGGTCTCCGCCCACCGGCCCCCGCCGGACGCCTCACCGCGCGGCCTCGCCGGGGAGGACCCCGCGCGCCGTACCGGCCCCTGCGCGCACCCTGGCGGGCACGCGTGACGAGGGCGCCTGCGCGCCTCCGCGCCCGGGGCGGTCGCCCCTCGGACCCCTCCCCGCCCCTCCCTGCACATCCCTGCCCGCCCACTCGCTCCGGCGGGCCGGGCCGCTGCGAGGGACCGCGCAGGCCGGCCGAGCGCCTGGGGCGGCCGGGCTGAGCATGGAGCGGCGCGGCCGAGGTGAGGGCCCGGGCGGGCGCTCCGACTTGCTGCGCAGCCTGGGAGCGGCATTCCACAGCCCCCACTTCCTGGGAGGGGGCTGCTCGGGGGGGCTGGGGGCTCCCGGCTTCCGGTCTCGGAGTGGGGATCGGTGATGGCAGGACTTGGCCCCTGGACCAGTCCTTGGAGTTTGGGAGGAGGGAGACTTTGACGAACTCTGCCCCGAAGCTGAGGTCTGCGAGCCCGGCGCTGCTGGGTCGCTCGCTTGCGTGGCCCTGGCCGAGCCCCAGGTCCCCAGCCCCCCAGCTCTGTAAGGGGAGTGGGGTCTCCGTGCCAGCTGGGGAGGATGAGGGGCGCCTGTTCCCACAGCCACGACGCAATTCTCAAAATGGAGCCTCGCTTGCCCCTCCTTCTTTAGCCCCGGAGAGGGAGCTGGCCGGCCGGCCGGGCCTGACTTTCCAGGCCCTATTCTGCCCAGCTAGAAGCCCCGTGGATTCGGGGGCTGTGGCTGCGTGGGTCTGCGACCCGGCTCGCGGGTCTGCTTGTCCCCTCGCGTTTGAGCGGGCCTCCTCTTTGTCTCTGCCTTCCTCTGCAGCCACCCTCCCTCCCTAGCCGCAGTTGTGCCCCCCCATGGGAAGGGTGCGTAGAAGGGGAGCCCCTAGCCTGCTGCTTTCCCTGGGCCCCAGAAGGAGGGTGACCAGGAGGGGCTTTGCTGGGAGCTGGCCTGGTGAGATGGTCCCAGTTGCCGGCCCTGCCGGGAAGCCTGAGGTTTCACTCTAGCCAGCTCACTTGCTGCGCTCCACAACTGTCTCTGCTCCTTGGGTCTCCGCGTCTGTCCCCTCGAGGGTGGGTGGACTTAGTCCGAGGAAGGTAGGAACAGGGGGCACAGAAGTCCTGTATTCCTTGGCTCCTCACTACCCAGTGTGAAAGACCAAGGGTCCCTTCACCGCGCTGACCTGGCCTGCCTCCCAGGCCCCCTCACTTCCAAACACATTCACACTCCCTGTTCAAGTGCACTTCACCATCCTGCACGTACCAGCCACACACAGACTCGCTGTGTACCTGAATGTCCTGATACAGGTGTCTGACATTTTCTTGTAGTCGCACCCATCACACCTGTACCTACAGGCATATAGCCTTCATCCGTAGCTGTCACCTATTCATAGTGATTTCTTACATATTTGGTCTTGTGAAGTATATTAGCGTACTCATGTGTGTGTCCAAGCAGATGTACTGTACACTCACACTCCGAAATAGTGTTTTCATGTACATTTTTACAAATGGGTTCATTTTGGGTGATTTTGTGGAGGTTTTTTATTTTTGCTGTACTGTGGATTGAACCCGGTCTCTTCCTTACGTGTGCTAGACGGCTCTACCACTGAACTCTGTCCCCAGTTCTCACCTGCAGACATTTTCACGTGCACAAATAAGTAAATGCATACTCCTAATTCCGTAAAATTTTCTCTCTACTTCTTGATGACAGAGCTCAGCAGATGCCTGAGCTCTGGCCATGATGGCCTCAGCACTGGGAGGGAGTCAGGGTGGAGGCTTTCCCTCAGGAAGGAGCAGGCCAGGGGAGGTGGGGCCCTCAGTCTGGGATGCTGGCAAGCGAGGTCCATCAGCTCCTGAGGTGATGGTAGACTTCTGCCTGAACACCCTGGGCACAGCAGCCGGCAGTGGGGTAGGGCCTCTAAGCTCCTTTAGGCCTAAATGCCAGCGTATGGAGGGGCGAGGGCATTCAGAGCCCTCTCTGTGATAATGTCAAGAGTTGTATGAGTTGTTTTTCTAAACCAGAACCCCAATATTCAGGCTTAGCTGCAGTGTTGGCACTTGGTACTAAACAAGTGGGCTTGGGGCTGCGGTTTGGACACTTGGTTCCTGAAATGCTCCTCAGCTCCCCATTGCCAGCCTCAGAGTTGTCTTGGAAACAAGCCTGAGCCTGGATGTGTCTCCAGGAGGCAGAAGACCTGGAGGGCACCTGTGGGGTTCCTGTTTGGCTGGCTCTGCCCTTGCCGCCTCTCTGTCTGCGAGAAACTGAGGCCCAGCTCAGGAGAGGCAAGGCATAGCCTGACTTTGGCTTCTTGTTCCCTAATTACTGTCCAAGTTGCTCATTGCATCCTCGACATCCTCACATCTGCCAGGTTGTCTTCTAGTGAGGCCACAATGGTTGGAATTGGGGGGGAGGACTTTGTGCCTCCTGGGTCCCAGGCGTAGGCTCCTCTCTCCACGGCCAAGTGGCCCCATTCCTCCTTCTCGTCACTGGGTAGAATCAGTCCTGCACTGTGTTCACATGAGAATTGGCAGTGGTGGGAGACAAGGAGTTAAAGGCCACAGCAGCAGCTGGAGCTTGTTCTTGCCCTTGGGGGGATCACAGAAAGCCTTATGTAAGGAGGGCCTCCAGGTAGAAAGACTCTGACACCACTGCTCTGTTCACAGGTTGCCCTGTAGGCCACTGGCCTGGCCTGAGCCTCTGCCAACATGGCCATCGTGCACACTGTTCCAGTGCCGCTGGAGCCCTCTCCTGAGGCGGCCACCACCCCACCAGGTCCAGCTATGGGCAGTGTGAGCAGCCTTATCTCCGGCCGGCCCTGCCCAGGGGGACCGGCTCCTCCCCGCCACCATGGCACCTCGGGGCCCACTTTCTTCCGCCAGCAGGATGGGTTGCTCCGGGGCACCTATGAGGCACAGGAACCTCTGTGTCCAGCTGTGCCGCCCCGGAAGGTCATCCCTGGCCCCAGTTTTACCTACATCAACGAGGACTTCCGGACAGAGTCACCCCCCAGCCCAAGCAGTGATGTCGAGGAGGCTAGAGAGCAGCGGGCACGGAGTGCTCACCTCCGTGGCCCCCCACCAAAGCTCATTCCTGTTTCTGGAAAGCTGGAAAAGGTAAGGACCAGCCTCTCTGGGGCCTGGGGAGACTGAGAAGCCCCTCAGGAAGCTGAATTTGGGAGTTTATATGAGAGTTCACTTGCCTAGTTCCAATCCTCATTCTGGCTGTGTGATCCCAGGGTAGTCACTTCATCTGTCTCAGTCCCACTGTCTGTTATCTGTGTATCGGAGGTAACAGGCCAGCTCTTGCTGGAGGCTGCTGTGAGAATGAAATAACACCTAGCACTAGCGAGCACCTATGCGTACTAGCTGCTTGAGTCGCTATTTGATGACCTTGAGCGTTTGACTTTGGTGAGGCTTTGTGCAGAGCCTTTAACACCTCTGTGGTGTGGAAACGGTGCTAACACGCAGTTTGTGTGTATGGCTGGGGTAGTGTTAAAAACGAACGTCTTAGGGCTGGGCAGACAACTCAGGACATAAGTGCCTGACTGGCATGCTCTAGGTCCTGAGTTTGATTCTCCATACTGAAAAAAAAAAAAAAAAAAAAAAAAAAATGAACCTCTTGAATTGCTGAACATAAGTTGGCACTCAGGAGATCCCCTGCCATGGACGCCCAGTATTGCTGCTGTGAGCACTGGGGGTCCCAGACGGGAGGCAGGAGTAGGACAGGAGTTTAGAAGGTGGGCAGCTCCTCAGTGTCGCATGGTGCCTCGTTTCAGAACATGGAGAAAGTCCTGATCCGCCCCACAGCCTTCAAGCCAGTGCTGCCCAAGTCTCGGGGGGCACCATCCCTGCCTGGCTTCCTGGGCCCTCGCACAGCTGGGCTGTCTGGGAGCCAGGGCAGCCTGACACAGCTGTTTGGAGGCCCCGCCTCCTCCTCTTCCTCTTCCTCCTCCTCCTCCTCCTCCTCCTCAGCTGCCGACAAACCCCTGGTCCTGAGCCCCTGGGCTAGCGGCTGCCCATCGGGGACGCTGTCCGACTCTGGTCGGAATTCTTTGTCTAGCCTGCCCACCTACAGCACTGGGGGTGCTGAACCAGCCACCAGCTCTCCAGGTGGACACCTGCCCTCCCATGGCCCTGGGAGGGGGCCACTGCCTGGGCCAGCTCGAGGGGTCCCTACTGGGCCCTCCCACTCGGACAGTGGCCGGTCCTCTTCCAGCAAGAGCACAGGCTCTGGAGGAGGGCGTGTGACTGGAGGGCTCCTGGGCAATGGTCCCCAGGTGTCCCCTGACAACAGCTCCTGTGGGGACCGCTCTCCCCCTCTCCCACCCCCACCTCCTCCCCCACCCTCGGATGAGGCCCTACTACACTGCGTCCTTGAAGGGAAGCTCCGAGCCCGGGAGGCCGAGCGGCAGCAGCTACGGGACAGTCTGGAGGAGAGCGAGGTCTCTGTGTGCCAGGTGCGGTCATGGTGCTGCCGGGGGAGGTGCGCCATATCTGGGAGGATGGTGGTGGTGGGCAGTTGAGGCATGACCCGTAGTTGCCTGGCTTCCCCAGGTATGGAGCAGGAGGTTGCAGAGCACCACTGTGCCCATTTTGGGGCACTTAACTTCATCTTGCTGAGCCTCAGTTTCTCTTTGCAAGTAGGGAATTTCCTAGCTGCAAATGGCTCTTGCAGGATTAAGTAAGGCAGAGGGCAGAGGGTGCTCAGAGTAACGCTTGACACTCTGGCAGCGCCAGTGTTTGCTGTTCCTGTTGTTTTGCTAGAAAAGCCTTGATCCCTTGTAGCCCTGATCATTGAAGGTTTTGTGGCCTACACCAGGGAGTGCGCCGCCTGCGCTGGAGTGCACGGCACGGGTCAGCTAGGTGCAGCGTCTGGGGGCCAAGCAGCACCCAGTGGCCTTCTCACTCACAGGCACTTGGCGAGCAGTCACGGCACTGGCGGAGGGAGCACGAAGCCCCACGGGAGGACTGTGCAGCCCAAGCCCAGCGGGCCCGGAGGACGCAGCAGCTGCTGCAGCTGCAGGTGCTCCAGCTGCAGCAGGAGAAGCGGCAGCTGCAGGATGACTTTGCGCAGCTGCTGCAGGAGCGGGAGCAGCTGGAGCGGCGGTGTGCCACCTTCGAGCAGGAGCAGCGCGAGCTTGGGCCCCGGCTGGAGGAGACCAAGTGGGAGGTGTGCCAGGCGGGCGGGTGGGCCTGGGCCTCCCCTGCGTTCCTGGCCTCTGTGTAACGGCTGCCCTCCACACTGCCTCTCTGTGTGGGGTCTCCTTGTTGGGCTGGTCTAATGCCCGTGCAGCCAGTGACACTGCCATCCTCTTGCCTTCCCTGTGCAATGGGTACTGTTGTTTTTGTTTTTTTTAAATTTTATTTATGTGTGTGTGTGTGTGTGTGTGTGTGTGTGTGTGTGTGGCCAGCTCAGCCCACCAGGGGGCGGGGCTGGCTGGCATGTGGTGCTGGGGGATTGAACCGTGGTCCCTGTGCTTTACTAAGCTTGTTCTAAGTAGGTGCTTTAGACCACTGAGCCATCTCACCAGCCCCATGGGTACTGTTAATTACCCCATTTCATAGGTGAGGAAACAGGTCCAGAAAGGCTAGGCCGAATCTAACAGCAATGGCAGAGCTAACACCTGAACCTGGGCAGTCTAGCTCTACTCTCCGCACCAGCTTTGAGAAGCACAGTTCTATGTCTGTGCCCCATTAGCCACTTACTGGCTGGCTGACCCTGGACACATCTCTGGGCTCTAAAAAGTGACAAAGACAGACTGTGCACCCCCAGGGAACCCTTCTGACACTGCCCCTGAACTTCCCACCTCAGGTATGCCAGAAGTCAGGCGAGATCTCTTTGCTGAAGCAGCAGCTGAAGGAGTCGCAGGCAGAGCTGGTCCAGAAGGGCAGCGAGCTGGTGTCACTGCGGGTGGCCCTGCGGGAGGCACGGGCTGCCCTGCGGGTCAGTGAGGGCCGCGCACGGGGCTTGCAAGAAGCGGCCCGGGCCCGCGAGCTGGAGCTGGAGACCTGCTCACAGGAGCTGCAGCGGCACCGCCAGGAGGCTGAGCGGCTCCGGGAGAAAGCTGGACAGCTGGACATGGAGGCAGCAGGCCTCCGGGAGCCCTCTGTGCCACCTGCCACTGACCCATTTCTCCTGGCAGAGAGTGATGAGGCCAAGGTGCAGCGGGCAGCGGCCGGCACAGGAGGCAGCCTGCGGGCCCAGGTGGAGCAGCTCCGGGGAGAGCTGCAGCGGGAGCGGCGCAGGGGGGAGGAGCAGCGGGACAGCTTTGATGGGGAGCGGCTAGCCTGGCAGGCAGAGAAGGAGCAGGTGATCCGCTACCAGAAGCAGCTGCAGCACAACTACATCCAGATGTACCGACGCAACCGGCAGCTGGAGCAGGAGCTGCAGCAGCTCAGCCTGGAGCTGGAGGCCCGGGAGCTGGCTGAGCTGGGCCTGGCTGAGCCGGCCCCCTGCATCTGCCTGGAGGAGATCACTGCCACTGAAATCTAGGCACCAGCCATGCAGGGAGCGCCACCTGGGACCCTGGGGTCCAGGGTCCTCCAGTCCTGTCTCGGGTACAGGCCTCTGGCTTCTGCCAAGAACTTCTGTGGCTCTGTGACCAGGCGAGCAAGAACAGACCCTTCCTAGGTCACCAATCACTGTCTCCCAGAGGCTACTAACAGTACCATACACACAGCCTGCTGCCAGGCTCGTTCAACCTGTGCTTGCCCGTCTGCTCCAGCCCAGAAGCTGGGAAGAGGAAGAAGGCTCCTTCACCGCCAGTGTGCCCTCCCTCAAAGCTAGAGAGAGCCAGATGGCACCGTATGTGCCTGCCCCTGCCCGTGTGAGGGGACAGGGCTGAGACGGGGCCTGATTCCCACGTCCTGGCCCTGCAGCCTCTCCCAGGCTGAGGGAGTTGAAGCCAGACCAAAGGAAGAACTCAGAGGTGTCTTGTTTATTTGTGTTTGTGACCAAGTAGCCCCTTCCAGTTCCCAGATTTATGGCTTCTTTTTCACTTGTATATTTTTCACTGTAAATTTCTTGTAAAAACCCAAAGGAAAAATAAAAAAAAATTTTTTTTAAGTGACTGCTGGATAAACAAGCACTGGGGAACTGCTGTGAGCGGCATCTTTTTTTTTTCCTTCTGTAATTAGGACAGGGTCGGTGGGATCTACAGGGTCTCACTACGTAGATCAGACTCCTAGTGATTCTCCTGTGTTCAGCCTCCCAAGTGCTGGGATTACTGGTGCATGCCACCTGCCCAGTTTCAATCGCTGTCTCAGTGTTCCCCCAGGTGTGGGCCTGCTGCCCACACAGGCACTTTAGTCTGCTGATAAGGCTGGCCCTTTGCATCCATCTCTGATGGCAACTGCCTGCCCTATCTTAGAGGCTGAGATCCAGAAGCATCAGGTCCTGGTGGACAAGTCCTGAAGTGATCTTAAAGCCTTAAGGAATGAAAACACCATTCCATCCTGTCCTACACCCCAACCGTTGTCTGGGTCGGGAGACTGTCCCTCGGTGCTGGGGGAGGCAGGTTGGGGTGGCCTCATGAGAAAGTGCCCACCAGTCCTCAGCTCCAGACCAGGGCTTCTTGGCCTCCCCTTGGGGTGAGGAGCAGCGGATGCAGCTGAGCCAGGCCTTGCCCAGCTCCTGGCTGTGGACGTGGCTCATCTGCGGGGTAGGGCCCTCCGGGCTACTAGAGGAACCACCAGCGTAGATGGAGCTCAAGGCAGGCAGGGCAAGCAGGACTGAGCTTCAGATGCTGGGGGCCTCACAAGAGGGCTTAGAGACCGCAGGAAGACCGTGGGAGCCTGCTGGGGGAGCTGGTCCCGGAAGCTCTGGAAGCCAGTGGGCGGGCACTAGAGCAGCACCAAGGGCTTGGGATGGTGACCAGTCAGCAGGAAGGTGTTGGTTGGCGAGGGCTGGCGGGTTGGGGTGAGGGTGGCAGGCCAGGCACAGGGACCCTGACCACCAGCTCCATGGGCTCTTGGGCCTTGTTGCGGTAAGCTCTGCGGATGGTGTCTACAGCTCGCTGGTGGGTTACTTGCTCTAGGCTCTCCCCATCCACTGCTACGAGCTCAAAGCCAGCCTAAAATGGAGGTGGGACAGTGGCAGCCTTCTTCCCTAGGTCACCCACACCAGTCACCAACCTGAGGGCACAGCCTCTCACCTCCAGGCTGGGACACTTCCCCCAGCTGTGCAGTGGATGGACAATGAGACTTTTGTGCCTGGAGCCGTTGGGGGCAGGGTGGGGCCAAACAATGGCCCTTTGTCCCTTGGGGCTCAGGGTGAAGCAAGATGGGCCATCCTCAGGCCCAGGCCAGTCCCAGCAGGCCTGCACATCCTCTTTGCCCCCTACCCCCCAAGCCTCTTCCTAGGACCTGGCTGGAGTCTGTCTCATTGGAAGAGGACCATGGAGCTGTCCTGCCTTGCCAGGGCTTGGCTCAGGTTGAGGGAGTGGCCTGGTGCTTCTCTCACCTGCAGGGCTCCACTAAGGAAGGCCGCGCCCCCTGGAAAGATCTTCTCTATCTTCACCATGGGCTGCACCTTGGACTCGATGCCCCCTGAAATGCTGATGCCTGCAAAGGTGGAAGCCCTGGGTAAATGTGCAGCCACACTCGCGACTCCAAACCCACAGGAGGGGCCTAGGACCCCATCTCAAAATACAGGTGCCTTCTTCCAAGCCTCAACTCTGAAATCCCCCAGATCTCAATTCCTTCAAATGTAGGTGCCTCTGCTGTACTCCAGGAGCTCAAGATACTTTCCTAGGCCCAGCCGGGGAAATCCAGCCCACTGACCTGTCCATGACCCCAGCCAGCCCAGCCCTGCCCAGCGGACCCAGACTCACCCAGGGATGGCTTTGTCTTGGACAGCATTACCGCCCTCAGCTCCCCGCTGGGGGCCTGCATGGCTGACGCCTCTGCTGTCTTGCCACTCCCAACCCTGGCCACCTGCCCACCCAGAGGTCGGGGCAGCGGGGGTCTGGCTTTCCGAGGCTTGTGGTGGCGCCCGTTAGCCGTGCTGCAGGTGGACAGAGGTGCCGGCGAGGGGGAGGGCACCCGCCCAGGGGATTTGCCCCGACCCCGGCTGCGGCCGCGGCTGTGCGCTGGGCCCTGGCCCAGGCCCTGCAGAGTGGCCTCTGGACTCAGGGCTTCAGTGAGCAGCCAGTTAGGCTGAGGTGGCCGGGGCACCACAGGGGGTGGCAAGGGAGGGGGTGTGCCTGAGACTGGGTGTGGGGCAAAGGCATCGACTGGCACGTCTTGGAGGGGGGGGATGCCTTTATGAGGGTGGTGGGGGGCAGAGATGCTTGCAGGGACCCTGCGCCCTCCCAGGCACTGCCTTGGCTCCGTGTCCCCCTCCTCCTCTGAGAAGCCGTTCGCAGGCAGCAGGTAGAAGCCTCCACGGCTGTCTGGGGAAGAGGCTGGGTCAGGCGTGCCCTCAGCGTCTCACCCAGCCTCGCTCTAGGTTTGTCATGGCCTCCATTCCTCAGCACCCCTGCATTTTGTCTGGGGCAGGTGATATACCTGGTCTACTGTGGCAGTATTTTAGGCCTATTTTAATGTCAAGAAAAAAGTGACTAGCATGTCAGACCAGTATCTTCCTCCGGATTACTACATGGGATGAAACTAGATTTTACAGAACAGGCTGGGCATGGCAGCATGCCCCTGCAATACCACTAGCACTTTGGGAGGCTGAGGCAGGAGGGTAACAAATTAGAGCTCGCCTGGAGAACATAGTGACACCATTTTAAAATAAAAAAGGCTAGGCCCTGAGTTCAAGGCTCAGTACAGCAAAAGTACATACGTATGTACTATGCATGTAACAAACAAGCATATATATGCATTTAAATCCAACTGTGGGCAAAGCACCAGCAGTGAGTTGCTGCAATGGAAGCGGCTCGGGGGAGCCAGCTTTCCAGAGGGCCTTCAGAGCTCCCATGACCCCTTCACATGGCCCCCCAGTGCTGTCCCCAGAATGGTCCCTTCTGGGCTCTGACTGACCAGGCACAGGGGTGATGAGATGGCGCCTGGGTGGCGTGTCTTGCCTGGTTGGTCTCAAAGCAGGAGGCCATACTGGTGGAAGAGGACAGTTGGAAGAAAGACCCTCCCCACCAAGCCCCACAGGCACCCCGGTCTCCCCAAGCCCCAGGCTCTCTGCCACCCTCTCCTCACTGTGCCCCTCCCCACCAGGCCCCACAGGCACCC